AAAATGGTGACGTGTTCAATACTTCTTTCACCCGCTGTATAAATAAACTTTATTATTATTATTATCAACCACACAAGACATGAAACAGCTACAATCTAGAGTCAAATATTTAAATCACACATAAAATTAGGAAAATGCGGCGTTTAATGTCAAAACTAAGATCCAATCAGCTCTTTGATCAAGTGATGGCCAGGCGATTCCCCTACACTTCCCATTATGCAACTCAGTGGTAAGCTCCAAAAGCACTGGGTCCTACAATTCCCATAATGCAACTTATATTAGTAGTGTCTTTTCATTTGACCATCCCTGCTTACTGTTCTGAATCTATAGTCTCCATCCTCCTTGACATCATATGGGTTATTTACCTAGACATGGCACATTATACTGTTTTCACAAGTAGAACTAGTAAAATTACCCTTTGAAGTACTAATGACAAACACTCAGCACACTATAATGTCTGTCAGAACACAGGGACAGGAACAAAGTATCGGTGAAATATTGGCAAAGTACTGTAATGGGAAGAATATAAATTTTTACAGTTCAGATTTGCAAACTGTAAGATAATGGTCATACAAGATCAGTAACAGCTAAGTACACACTGCACATGTCAGCAAAAACAGTTCACAGTCACAAAGTAAGGATATGCCCTCTCAATGGGAATCACATTAATAAACAGTGTTCATTTGCTAACTGGGGCAGTATGTGTAAATCCCAATACAAGAGCAGACAGCTCTGTTCTGCAGTGATCACATGATAGTAACTCTCTCAGGTGAAACCTGAACAGCCAAGCCCACCGGCTCCAGCCGCTGACACCGGTACTGACTACTGTCCATGCCCCGGCGGATCTGGTGGAGTTTGCGGGCCACGCAGGGGAGCAGCATCAGCACCTTCCCCAGTATCACGCACACTGGCAGGGCCAGGGCCACCACGAAGCTGGGGGGCAGGTAGAAACGGTATGCCTCCTCATCAAAGGCTCGCTTCCAGCCGAACAGCAGGCCGTGGAGGGTGGCGATGAGCAGGGCAATGTAGCCCAAAGTGGACTGGAGCAATGACAGGAAGACTCATGATGGTAAATGCAGTAACAACTCCTGTGATCATACAGCAAACACCAGATAACACTTAGATTTATCCATCTAGATTGTATATCGGCCGTGAAGACACCTGCCCTCCCTCCAATACAGATGGACCAGATGAGGTGATCAAAGCACCAAATACTTCCTACATAAAACTGCTCACAACAAGGTCTGTGGATAACCTTGTTGACTGGGTCATGATTTCTGGAGACATTGCTGACTTTTTCAAATGTACATTTTTGGTACTCTGAGCACCACACGCCAGGTGCTTCTGGTTACATTATATTGGAGAGAAGGCAGACGTCTCTATAGCCGATATCTCCAAAACTCAGCAACTCACAGCAAAGCAGTCTAGATGGATAAATAACACTACAGTCATCAATCAATCATATGTATTTTTGATCTGAACCAGTTTGCATCATAAACCGTACTCCTTTCTATCTGATCCATAACTCAGTCAAATCTAAACACATACATATTTAGTGTAACTTACACTTTCTGAGGATATAATTATTTCCATGTCCATTGTGGATAAATCAGCTTAGAAATCATGGTAACAGAGAAAAAGCTCAGCTTTGTATAACCCCAGAACTTGTGAGAGCCATCACGTTATTTACAGTATCAGAGTAATCCAGTGTCAGAGTTTGAAAACCTGGTCTGCATGTACCTGTATGAAGCTGAACTCCCTCCAGTTGAGCGTGCTATGGACAGATGGGATGGAGGTGATTGCCAGGAGTGACAAGAGCCCAAGGCTCATGATCCCAAAGGACACGTACATCTCGACCCTCCACACCTCCTCCTCATTCCACGCATTCTCCACATTAGCATGGACCTGTCAACACAGAGGATGCTCCACAATCATCATATTTCTTTCAAGTTCTTTATGTGAAATGAAAAATGACGTTTAAAATGTAAAAGGAAATCACATTTATCAAAAAAACTAGTCCATGCATTTGTTACTAGGCTGGATTACAGCATTTCCTTATTATCAGACTGCCCCAATAACTCCATTAAGACATTACAGTTGATTCAGAGTACAGACAGAAACTATGGAAAGCGATCATATTTCTCCAGAACTAGCTTCTCTGTACTCTGTAATATACACCTTTCTAGTCTTCCAGGCACTTAAGTTTACACTACATGTCACATTTACCCACACATTCATCACTGATGGCAGCGGCTGCCATGCAAGGTGCCAACTCCCCATCAGAAATGGAAACTAAGGGCATTTACACACTTTAATACACCGATTCACAACATCGGGATTCAATATGGGATTCAGTATCTTGCTCAAGGACATACAGCGGGAAGGGCCAGGGATCACACCGCCAACCTTCAGATTAGTGGGCTTCCTACCTCCTACGCCACAGATACTGATATTGTTGTAGAAAAATTATGTTATTTCTTAAAATGTTGAACTACACTTTAATTTTTGGACGAAAATGCCTGCTTTGACTGGGTAGAAGGTCAAATTTTTGAGTAACAGTGTAAACACAGTGTTCGGAACCCTGCTTCCAACTGACCTGCTGGTAGGCGGTGTTGAGCAGCAGGTACCTCTCAGACCTCCTCATGGGCAGACACAGGCTGTAGAGAACGTGGACAGCAGCCAGGAAGAAGCTCAGGAGGCCCAGCTGTTTCCGACTCTGCAGCCAGCCTTCCAGCCAGTGTGGGAAATGTCTGTACTTGGTACCGTAGTAGAGCTGGTGGGCGGCCGCCAGCTGCCCTGCCAGGTACACCAGGGCCAAGAGAGTGATGGCAACAGTGGGCAGTGTTCGGTTCACCATCTCTATGGGGATCTTGTAGAAATCACTCTGCTTGTATTTCACATACGGGTGAATGATGTCTCTTACAAAAGAGTAGGCAAAAAAAAAGATGGAGAGGGCCACTGCAGCAAGGACAGGGCCCTTCCAGCCAGGAAATAACTGTATGGGCATGTTCTCAATGTCTCGCGAAGAAGACAGGGTCCCCATATCCACTGGCTGGAAGTTGAGATGGCGGGCAAGTTCCATAATTTGCTGTCTAGCTTCCACTGAGTCACTGCAAATGAACACCTACACAGAGACAGGATTACAGAGAGAATTCAACCGGGGGGATGGAGCAAAAAGGGCATATAGAGTATATTTTCTTCCTCTGTACCACAGAGCTCCATTGATGCCAAAAAACACATCAGTGAGCCATGCTGTTGCACTGGGTAATTTGTTTCTTCTTCATTACCATGAACACACAGTACTTAATTTGGACTCAGTCCTAAATACACCGTGCACAATTTCCTCCTGTTTGAGCAACATTTTATAAAAACTACAGTGGTTAGCTCTTTTGAGAAAATACTGGGCCTTTTTTAACAATGAAACTATTCTTACTAATTTGTGAGGTGTATTTAAGGATTTACATACAAACCAATGAACTTGGAGCTGAGAGCAACAGACAAAGTAGGGATGTCAGAAAGTATTAAAGGATCAGCGTGTAGGATTTAGTGACATCCAGTGGTGAGATTGCAGATTGCAACCAACTGAAACCCCCATGACTCAACCAAGTGTGTTAAAAATACGGTTGCCACAAAACTTGCAAAAAAACGCATATGGCCCTATCTAGAGTTTGGTTTGTCCATTCTGGCCTACTGTAGAAACATAGCGATTCAACACACCAGACTCTATGGAAGGTGACTCGCAGCATCTGTAGCATTCCCTCCCTGTGTGTCAAAAAGTAATTTTCTGTCAAAATACACCATAAATGTTATTTATTTCATTCAACATTCAAGTGCTCAATTTTCTTGATACTAATAACCTTATTGTTTTGTTTCAAATTACTGTCAGTTAGAGTTGGTCCAATACCAAATTCCTCCAGTGTTGCCTAAAAATTGGGTATTTGCAAGTACGTTTGTCTGTGCACCTCATCGTGTTTAATAAGTCTGTATCGGACTGTTACTTGGTATTGGCCAATACGCAAAGTTCAGGAATTGGAATTGGTAAAGAGAAGGAATATATAGTCTCTACTGTCAATCAATGTGGGTCAAGGTTGAAAACCACTGTTGTTACAGATCATTAGGGCTGAGTATAGACAAGAATCTGGTGCTATGATAGGTATCACAATACAGGGGTTACAATTCAATGTATTGCAATATATTGCAATACTGTGAGCAAGAAGATATATTGTGTTTTTTAAATAAAATTTTAGGAAAACTGTCTATTATAAAGAACTCACGACTATATGCATAAACTGAATAAAAAAATATTTTTTATACAACTCTACATTTACAACACTGCTGTCTAGTGGTTTGGGGTTTAAACACCAAAATTGATAGTGTTTTTGAGAATCGATACAGTGTGCCAAAAAAAACATGACGCGATATTTTTCAATATTTATATTCCTACAGTTACAACCTACAGATAAGTCCATCCGAAATTTTGCTACTTATTCATCCAAAACTCCACCTAACGTATGCCTATTCAGGAAAAAATCGATGTTGATATGATCTAAAGCACTGCTTCCCAACCTCTGCATGGCTTGTGACTGAATATAGCTGACTATAAGCTGTGAACAGTTAAACAGTAAGAGTTGTTCCCTTCTCAACCTGTTTAATTTGAATGGATTTAAGAGTTCTGAAAGGGTAAAACACCAGCTGATCTACACCAATGATGAGAACCAATGATCTAAAGTAAAGATGGAACTTGGGAGTTGCCATAACTTGTTCACTAGCAGATACATCTCAGTTCTTTTCCCTTGCTGAATCCTGAAATGAATATTTTTTTACAGCTGCAATATTCCTGATATCAAGCGTTCTCCATGAAATTTATCACTAGCTTAAATGCCTTTCATTTTAGTTTTAAGAAGCTTCTTAACATCAGGGCTAAAGTTGTGACCTGCAGTTTTATAATCTAAACTGCTGATAAGGACAGCTGACTGGCTGGGGGATTATTTCAGGATTTATTCTTACATGCAGGAGCTCCACTGTTGTGAGTGTCCTGTATAGGAATTAATTTGCTCTGGATGTGAAGGCTCACTGGGCTTTTTTTAATAATTTGTGCCTAAATTAAAACAGAATTAATGTGTCAGAGAGTGAGTGAGGCAAACTGTCACATTGGCTGGCTGCCAACTCTTGCTTTAAGAGAAAACACAGATCTGACAAATCATGATGCCTTGTAGTGAGCTTTGAAATGGACTCTGAAATGGAGTCTGCCCCACTGCTTTCCAATGCACACTGACTTGTTTCTACTTTTACTGAAACAAAGTGCATTAAAACTAAACACAGTCATCTACAATACTCTGAAAGGCAACATGTGAGTATAGATGTTTATTTTTTGACCATTGGGATTTTGACAAAATAATTATCACCAACAAGGGTGTTTTGGAGCTTTTAACAACAAGCCATGGCCTTCTTAAGTGGATGGAGTTTGCTCAGTTTTCATGCCATCACAAGATTAAGTGTGGCACTTCAGTCACATGAAAATAGGGCCTTTTTTTGCCCTGTTTTTACACAATCACCTGTGAGCATGTGACTGAAGGGCCATTGACTTGATGATAATTGAGCCACCTTGGTGAACAGAACAAACAACTCCATTCATTGTTGACGGCTGTAGAAAGTCACTGATAGTACCTGTGTGCTGGCATCTTTGGGACAGCTCTGCTGCATGGCCCAAGCTGAGATGACATTGAATCCTTTGACCACGATGGAGTCTGGCAGCAGCGATGCCAGATACTCAGCATTAGATTCTGGATACTGGTTCACCCTCCTGTTGTTGCTCACATCCACCAGGACCTTGCCTGCAGGACAAAAAGACACACACACACGACTTCTGTAGTTAAAGGCATTAAATAATATAATGAATCATTTTATAAGGAGTTCGGTCTAGACCTGCTCTTTTTTAAAGGTGTCCTGAATAACTTTTGTTATGAATTGGCGCTATACAAATAAAATTAGGTTGAATTGAAATATATACTAAACTTGGGCTGTCAGCTACAACTGCAGCGGCACATAGGTCTCCCTAGGCTATATGGGATTGGTGTTGACTCTGACTCTAACTACCCTTGTGTTTAGCAATGTGTAGTATGAATGTGATCCCTTTAAATTCTAGTACATTGTTGCACACGTATAAGTTACTAAAGGTTATATATATGAGAATTAAAACATTAATAAAGCGACAAACCGCTATGTATAGGCAACATGTTTTTTTCAACCAAACCAGGGTTGGTGATTGCGGGAACAGTGGAAAGACAAAACAAGGATGGTTTTTATTTTGTTTCTGTCCATTTTGAATGTAGTTATGATGAATATAATGATTTGCGAGGTACAATTAACCTTTTTGTCAATGGAGTCTGGTGGAGAGTGATAGCGATATTACAGCTGTTTCTGGTAAAACAAAAGGTTATCTCTGTAGGGATGCTTTTCATTATGTTGACACTTAAAATAACAGTTTGAGCCTGTCAGTGGTGTGGTTGGAAAGTCTGTGGAAGGACTAACAAGGACAATTTTGGAGACTTTGTGTGTTGGTGTCTACCTTCCAGTAGATGCTTGAGGTCCCACAGGACAGAGTAATGCTCACGGCGGATTGCCAGGAACACAATGCTGGCCTTCCCCACTGCGTCTTCGTGGTGCGTCACATCCACCACATGGGGAAATGACTGGGCTGCCAGTTTGGGATGGCGGCTGCCCACTACCACATGGAAGCCGCAGCGCAGCAGGCGTATGGTCAGGCACTTGGAGAAGTCACCTGAGCCCAGGATGGCCACAACGGGTTGGGCAGGGAGACGAGCGCTCCCCACGTCTCCTACTCCGTTCTTCATGCCATTGGGCAGAAAACAGGCCTGGGCGTGGTGTAGGTGGTGGGAGGAGGAGGCTGTTAGAAACACAGGACTCCTGCTGCCGGCCATCATAGAGATGGAGTCCATCCTTCCTCCCTGTAAATTCTTCTTCTTTGTTCTTTTTTTTTTTTGCTTAGGAGGATTTCACTGTGTCAAAGGGAGGTAGGAGGGAAGCACTGTTAACAGATTAGGATTTCTTGGAAATGTATTCTTGCCACCCTACACATGATCACAGGCAGGATGATTATGCATCAGCTCAAGCCATTAGCTGTTTTCCTGTGGCGGGAGAATGAAATCAAACAGCACAGCAATCAACAACAGCATACGATGAGTGATACACATGCTCCGATTGTATGCCTTTTATTTAAATTTTGACTTAAAGGACCAGTGGCATTTAACTGAAACTGCTTGACTCAACCAGTGTGTAGGAGAAGCTATGTTGGCCACGAAACTCACGAAAAACGTGATAGGCCCTATGTAGAGCCAGTGTTTGGTTTGTCCATTCTAAACTACTGTAGAAACATGGCGGTTCAACATGGCCGACTCTATAGAACAGTACCCACTCCCTCTATTGATAAAAATGGCTCATTCTAAAGTAACAAAAACACAATTATTCTTATTTTCAGGTGATCATTAACTAATGAAAACATACCTATGAATATTTTATTGCATTTCTGACAATAGATCCTTCTTAATGTTACACACTGGACAGACCTTTATTATTTACACTCTTACCAAATTTATGAAAATCTGCATTTCACAGGTTGAAAATAGTTCAACACGCCCTCTACTGTTTTAAATCAACCTGAACCCTGCAAGGCCAGTGCTGACATAGAGTCGACCATTTGGGACTACTTTACGTCATGACATTTATATAAAAAAAACAGCCCTCTAATCAGAGGAGGGCAGCCCACCTGCCCATGCCATCCCTTTAAATGTGGGAGTCTGTGAACGCTGTGCTCATTTTCAAATGTAGACTGATGGAGACGCATCATTCACAGGTTTATGGTAGTTTTTGCTAAGCCTCTGCTTCTTCTATTTTGGAGCATTGGTTCAGACTTGTTCTTTAGATGCTGCAATCTTTACCTTGATTCCACACACTGACAGTCCCCCCACAGACACACACATAACGGAGAGTTAACCTCTCTGAGCCGTTAGCTCAGCTACAATGCAGGTAGCACGAAGAAACTTTTACAAACAGCTGAGAATGTGCTTCTGGTGACTGTAAAAGCTCCAATGGATCTGTGTTTCCAGAGCCTGACAGCAGCTGCTCATAGCTGGTTAGTTATGACTACCAGCTCGCTGTTTCTGCCACGCTGCTGTGGTCAGTCTGTCAATCACAGTGGTCAGTATCAAGGCCACGTCCACTAAAGTCACTGTCCTTTGCAGATCTCTGATGCATTTTTTAAATTTGCAGAAAGGAAGGTAGCAAGCAGAATTGAATTCAAGTTGCATACTGGACCAGGTTAAAGTGTAACTATAACCTGGTCCAGTATGCAACTTGTACAGCGTGGTGTAGAGACTTGAAGCCACCAGTGGACATACTAGGAGAATGGACTTTACAGTGCAGTAGGAGACATCGTGTGTCCAGCAGGAAAACTTTAGAAATTCATCAATTCTGGAATTCTTAATGAGGTAGAAGAAGTAGATGTGGATATTATATTATTATCTTTGCAGACACACATAAATGTTCCAAGCAGACTATTTGTTTATGTCTTAAATGGAGTCAGTCATTCATGAAAAAGAGCGCTGATTTGAGTCTACCATTCCCAGTAATTTAGTAAACGTGTATGACCAGTAATTGTTTATGATGTCTTTTCAAAGTAGAAAATTAAATTAGCGATGCAAAACAATGTATTATGCAAACAATATATATGTTTGTAATGCATCTTCAATTTTCAATTCAATTAAATTGCATTTTATTTGTATAGCAGCTAATATCATAATCAGAATAGATTATCTCCTAGGAACAGCTTTTCAAACCCAGAG